AGACAATGAAGGGTGGCCTTGGGGCTCAGGTTTGAGTGTGAACACCATTTAGTTCCTTGACCAACCTAAAGAAGTAGGAATTCTAGTCTCCACCTCAGAGGTACAGACACCTAGGCTCGAGGTGGCCCTATCTGCTTAGCATGAAGGCCTCCCGAGAAGAACAGGGTCAAACCCTCCAGCCTCCTCAGAGTTGCCCCCTTGGGCACCATTGTGTGAAAGGAGGGACTGAGTGAGGGCACTTGGAAAGGCCTCACACGCATCAACAGCAGACACAGCCCTGATCCATGTGACCAGACACAGACCCTGTGCGCTCACTGCTGCCCCTCTTGAGTCTCCTCTGCCAAGACAGGCCTGTGAGTCCCCAGGAGGAAGGGCATGTGGGGCTTTGGGCTGGAAGGGCTCCCTCCTCCTAACACTCATTCCTGGCTGAGTGGAGCCACCCTGGTGACAGACACCAACTGGTCTCTCTTGGTTCCTCCTCTACAATCCAGAAGGCAGGAAGAACAGCAGGGGTGACACAGTCATCGCTGCTTTTCCCTTCATCTTGGTGTCTTTGGTTTGGGGTAGAGACGAGATTCTCCAACCAAATACAGTGAACCATAAGCCCTCTGTCTGCCCATAAAATGTGTCACTTAGAAATGCTTTGGGTTGGCACTTGGAAGTCTGAAGGCAAAAACAAGCCACAGTTTAATTTATTACAAGTAGAGAAAGTGAAAAGAAATAATCTGATCTGAACTTCACTGAGTCCAAGTGTGCACAACCTAATGAAGAGCCAAGAAGCATAATGATTGTGAGGTCTCACAGCACCCAGGGCCTTCTGACATCTGCTCCTCCTGTGAGAGAATCTACCTCCTAAACACTTGAGTAAATAATGCAAATTTTCAGTTTGGTTAAATCTGCCCAGTCAGCCCTGACAACCATCAGACCGTCAGGGAAACATGAGCATTTTAATAAACCCAATATTTTGCCAAATGTAGTGAAATCCCGTAATAACATTTTTCCAGAGGGTGGGAAATGAAAACACATTAAGCGGGAAATATGTATGTGACCACCCAACCATGTCTCAAAAAGGTAAATGCTACACGCAGGAACAGATTCTAAGTGAAATGATGACATGCCGTGGTGGCCATGGGGGAGGACGGTGGGCGGTCTGGGAAAGGGGTCTTTACTGGGGCAGCAGGGGAAAACCCTGAGACCCCCGCCTGCCTGCGACTGTCCCACCCTTCCTGTGGCCTCGGGAAATTCAGGAAGGCAGCAGTGAGTGGGGGGCCATGCAGCGGCCCAGCTTCTGCCTGGTCACACCGGGCTCACCGCCCCTGGGCCTCTTTGTCTCATCTGGAAAGAGCCTAAAACATCCCAGTTTCCAGAAACAAGGACCAGCAAGGGCCTTTCCTCCCCCGCATCCCAAGTCAGGTCTTGCGCCATCTTCTGACAACATCTCAGTGGAACCAACAGAAGCACTGGTGGGCAAGCTGCCTTTCTTCTGCCCTCTGGGGAGGCAAGCGCTTCCCACAATTAGTGAGCACATCTAAGGCTGTCCAAATGTCCATGCAGTGTCAGCCAAGCAGCATGGGGAAGGGATGCATCTGTCTCCATTGTGGTGTTTTTGTCTGTTTACTTTTGGAGGAAACTGAACCTCGGCCTTTGTACTGAGATACATCTCAGCCCTTGTATTTCTTATTTTGAGACAGGGTCTCACTTAGATGCTAAGTTACCCAGTCTGGGCTCAAAATTATGATCCTCCTGCCTCAGCCTCCCAGAGTGCAGGGATTACAGGCGTGTGCCATCACCTCAGGGTGGCTTCATTCTTTAACAGAAGCCAAGTCCTGGTGTCCCCGTCTCCCTCCCACTGGCCATCATCCTGGAAGATTCCTCTGAGACATGGACGCAGCACCTGGTCCCCAGCCTGTATAGGAGAACCAGCTCTGACCTCCCTGGAACTGTTCCAGGCCCAATATCTGCCGGAAGAAACCACAAATGGTTGAGCGGTTGACATGGCCTTGGGTCACTCCTAACATCTCCCTGGGCCCTCCCAGCTTCCATCTCTGAAAGTCTAGGTGGTCCCTCACCTGTCCCTCAGAGACATTCCGAACTTCTTGGTTTGGACCTCAAGGATTTTGGACCCATAGGAAATCTCTGTAATGTCTTCTCACCTTGATGGATGTTTGTTGCTATGGAAAGTCTAATTTTTGAAATTCATTTTTCAGCTTATTGGCCATATCATTTTGCTTTGGAATTTATTTTGGCCACTGACCTAGCAATCTTGTCCCTCCTGGTCCTCATTTCCTAATGCCCCATATGGATCTTGTAACTCATTAGTAGGTAGACTGAGCAGTGATGTCCCAAGTACGGACTGGATCTGTTTGGCCTTGTGGACATCTGAAGACATGGTGATATACTTTGGTACTTCTTAACTAGAGACAACTTTGCCCACAAGAAACATTTTACAGTGTCTAGAGATTGTGTTCATTGTTAGAACTTGGGGACAGGATGCTACTGGCATCTACTGACTATGGAGATCAGAGAGGCTGCAAAACATTCTACAAAGCACAGAAAATCCCCTTGTCCCCATGACAAAAGTTCTCTAATCCCCAAATCCATATTGCCAAGGTTGAGAAACACTGGCCTAAGTGGATAATCGCTTCCTTTTTGAAAGCTTAAAAACTGTTTTATCAATCACCTAAAAACTTAAAACTCATACAAAAACTGTTTTCAAGGTGATGGTGTTCTTACTTTTATTCTGTTCTGCGATCTCTATAGTAAGAAACAGTTAATATAATAATATATTTTATATTACAATATTACAAATATATATATTTCACATATATACAAGAGGTATTTAGGATTTTTTTTTTGGTGAGATTCTTTTTTTTTTTTTGGCCAAGCATTTGTCTATTTTGTTTATTCTTTCAGATTTTTTTGAATTTTTTGTCTCAATCTCATTAATTTCTTCTCTGATCTTTATACTTGCCATCCTCCCACTAGCTTGGGATTTGGACTGGTTTTGCTTTTCTAGGATCAAGAGGTCTATCATGAGGTTACTGATATGGGATTGCTTTGTTTTTTGTGATTTGGTCATTCACAGCTATAACCTTCCCTCTTCAGAATACTTTCGTTGTGTCCCACCGGGGCCTGGTACATTGTACTGGTGTTATCATTCGAGTCTAGGGACTGTCTATTTTCCCTTAATTTCCTCTGTGACTACTGATTATTCAAGAATATACTGCTTAATTTCTATGTGTTTCCAAAATTTCTATGATTTCTTTTGCCACTGATTCCCAATTTAATTGTTCTGTGATCTGATAAAATGCATAGGATAATTCTAATTATTTTGCATTTATTTAAGCATGCTTTATTGGCTACCATCTGGCCTATTTTGGAAAAAGTTTCCTACATGCTGCTGAGAAGAATGTGTGTTCCATTGTTGGTGGTGGAACATTCTATAGATACCTATTTAGTCCATTTATTCTAAGTTTTGGTTCAAATCTGGCATTTCTTTGCTGATTTTTTCTGTCTGGTTGATCTCTCTAAAGGTGACAGAATATTAAGGTTGCCCACTATAATTATGCAGATGTTTATCTATTCTTTCACACCCATATTGCTTTAAGAAGTTGGGAGCACCAGTGTTTGGTGAGTATATGTTTATAATTTTTAACTCTTCCTGTTGCATTGTTCAAAATGCAAATTAAAACCACATTGAGATTTGATTTTATACCAGAAAAAAATGGCCATCATCAAAAATCAAATAACAAATGCCGGCAAAGCTGCAGGGAAAAAGGAATTCTTCTATATTGTTGATGGGAATGTAAACCAGTGCAACCATGATGGAAGTCAGTATGAGAGGCCTCAAAATACTAAAACTAGAAGTTTCATTCAATCCAGCTATTCTCCTTCTAAGTATCTTCCTGAAATAAACACGTCATGTTACAATGATATATGCAGATCCATGTTTAGAGCAGCACAATTCACAATAGCTAAATCTCGGAGGCAGCCTGTATGCCTATCAACAGATGATATATGAAAAAAATGTGGTATTTATACACAATGGAGTACTACTCTTCTATAAAGAAGGATAAACTAGTCATTTGTAGGCAAATGAATGCACTTAGAGACCATAATTTAAAGTGAAATAAATCAGACGCATAAGGTTAAATGTCATATGGTTTGTCTTATATGATAAACTCAAAGAACACATAAAATAATGAGCAAAGTCAAAGATAGATAATATGAAATAAGGAAATAAATCTTTTGCAAATGGGAAGAGGACGAAGAGATGGAGGGAGGAGGGAGAGAGGGAAGGGAAGGGGATAAAAAAGAATTAAGAAGAGTTATGTATCTGTACCAGCTCCCCACAAGGAACATGATCATTGTGTACTGCAAATATGCACAAATAAGAAAAAAAAAAAAAAACAGGGGCCGGGGATTTAGCTAAGTGGCAGAGTGCCTGCCTTGCAAGCACAAGGTCCTGAGTTTGATCCCTGGCACCATTAAAAAAAAGGGGGGGGGCAGGGGGCAATGAAAACATATGGCAAATATTTAAATAAAAAATTTATTACAGTAAAAGCAACATTGCCAAGAATGATTGGATAAATGTGTTTCTGTGCAAGGGAAAGTATTTTGAAGGGAATTAGTTGCAATGTTTCTTTCACTGTAATAATCTTTTTATTTGAAAAGTCACTGTATCAGTGATCAACTATTTAAGCCAATTGCTGTTAAATTAAAACATGACCTTGTGTCCTCTCCCACCTTTTTCACTAGATTTTTTCACTGTACAACTTCTAGCTTTTCCTTAACATTGAAGGGACCACAAGTGACCAATCTTTTGAATGGATTCAGGACATGCAGGCAACCACAACAGTGCAACTAAAGACACTCAGGAAAGAGGACTTCTAGAACCACTTCAGAAAGTGGCAAGAACCGAGTTCAAAGTAAGGAGTATTTTGAAAGGGATTAATGGAAATGTGTCCTTTATTGTAACAATTTTTAAAAAATTAGTCACCATATTTTTTATCATACTTCGTATGTACCCACCCAAAATGATACACTCAACAAAAAGAAGTAAAGAAAAGAGGGATGGAAAATAAGGAGAGGTCTTCTGAAAACGATGCACATCACACAGGACAAGAGGGAGCCATCATTCTGCCCAGTCAGCTGCAGTAGGACACCTGCTGCATACCAGTCCTGCCCCTACCCCAGACCTGCAGGGTTGGATCCCTGGTGCTGGAGCCCAAGACTCTGCAGACATTCACCAGGTGATTTTCCTCCATGCCAGGATTTGAAGACCACAGCATTGGCCTTTCCAGCCTTAGAGCATTTTCGTGTCTCTGACTGTCTCTCCTGCTGGATCAGCTTTGAACAAAGGAAAGAAAGAGTTAGAAGAATGAAAATTAAAGTTGAGGGTTTAATCCACTCACTAAGGCCAGGAAGTATGTCCAGAGCATTTTAGCAAGGACCAGGGACTTAAATCTTGTTTCTCCTCTGCCACCAAGTCTCCTTTCTGTAGGATACCTAGGAATTTCAGAGTTTTAGGTTTATGACAAGCTTACATCCCAATAAACCCATGCTGAATTGAAAATACGGAAGTGGGCAATGCATGGGTACACCTGGCCTACCACAGATACATGTTATTGTGTCTGTTGCTTCCTCTCACAATCTCACGGGGGCTGCACTTGAGAAAGAAGATGGTGTCCCATGTGAGTGACCTGGCAAAAGATCCAAGTTTGGAGGACAGTTTCTGCTGCGTGCATAAGGCTTGCTTATCATAGCACAGTTGAAACATCTTGTGAGGGACCATCTGTATACTGTGCTTCTCTATGCCCTCAGTGTGATGGGTGAAATGAAGCAGCAGTGTGTGGCTGACTCTGACCACTCAGAGGGACACAGGAGAGAGAGTCACACTGGGGCCTGAGGTTGAGGAGGAGTTGGGCTTAACTCTTAACTTCCCCCTCCTGACTGGAGAACCAAAACTCCCAAATCAATTACTCACAAACACTTGTGATAGGATTAATTTAATTTTTTTCTTAAACAAAGAAGGTAAATTAAAAGAATCAGCTTGCTTCTTCCCACACTGTAGTGACAAGATTGAAAATTAAATTTATACATATTTCATTTCTACATAATAAAGCCTTTTTGCAAAAAGAAAAAAAAATACCACAGTTCATCTAATTAAATCAAAGAAAATCGCCTGCAGCGCTGTTTCAGTATCACAATTAAGCCACTGCCAAAGCCAGCCTCAGAATTCTTCAGCACCAGTCTGGGCTGAAAAATCCAGTCCACTTTTGGTGGGTGTGAATTTGGGGGATGACTTCAGGAAAATGTGGTGCCTCCTCCCACGTCAGCCCCTAAACATAGAAACAAAGAATCTGAAGCTCTTGTAGAGTCACTGGTACATTGAAGAGAAAAACATGATCTACTTTTGGTTAGAAACAAAAACAAACAAACAAAAAAACCGAAACTCATCCTGAAGCTTGGGAGAAGAGCTATCCCCCTATCTTTTCATTGTTCAAATACTAAAACCATCAGCATGTATACAAGGAGTGATTGAAACATACGATAAATATTTAATTTTTAAAAAATTATTACACTAGGTACATTGCCACTAGTCCCGCTCACCACACATCTCCTAGCTTTGAACACACTTATCCCACTGTTTTGCAGCTTTCTGGAACAGTTCTGAAAGTCCTCTTTCAGGAGCGTCTTCACAAGTTCTGACAGCGATTGCTGATGCCGAGAGCCATCCCACAGAAAGGCAGCTCTCAAAAACACTACAGTGTGTCCTCATCTGCCTTGTTCACCAGACTTAGCACCTTGTGACTTCTGGGGTTCTTTCCCAAAGTAAAGAGGACCATGAAAGGTAAACATTTTGATTCAATTCAGAATATCGAAGTAGCCAGAATAGTGGAATTAAAGATTCTCACAAAAGAGGACTTTTAGAACTGCTTAGGAAAGAGGCAATGAGGACGGGATAAGCATGTTTGAAGTGAGAGGTACCATTTTGAGGGGAGTTCATGGCAATGTGTCCTCAGAGTTCATTAGGGGAAGAGATTTAATATAAAAATATATATGATTATATAAAGGATTTATGAGGTCAGCTTGCAATGGCCACCTGTGCTGTCGAGGGAGGAAGAATGCAAAGGAAATACAGAGAATGCAGTGGAAGACTAACAACCTGGTGCCCACTGCAGAGGCCAGTGAATGTCCATGTCAGAAGGCCAGAGGGTCTGCATTAAAAGGCTGAAGAGTCAGTACTGTAAGTCTGAAGGAAGCGGAGAGGAGCATCCAAAGCCATGGCCAAGGTGGAGCGCCTTTGACGATGGAAAGGGAATACTTCCTTCTTTGCCTTTTCACTCCATTCAGGCTACAAGCCTATTGGCTGGTGCCACCCACATCTGGTGTGGGTTTCCCTCCTCAGTCTGCAACACTCCCAAAGTCTTTACTAATCTGGTAAGTGGCCATTACTCAAATCAAGTTGACAAATTACAATTACAATTAACAGTCACACACTATAACAACCTTTTTTTTTTTTTTTTTTTTGGTACTGAGGATCAAACTCGGGTCCTTGCACTTGTGGGGCAGGCGGCAAAACCTCAACTTTTTAAAATTTAAACAGTCACCATATACTTTGATCATGCCTCACGCCTTAAATAAACTCCCTGAGGTCAGATCATTTCTCAAAGCATGCAGACTGCCTCAGGCTCTTCAATGACACTGCTAACATGGACATGGTCAGTGTGTGGTCTCAGTTTTCTCAAGGACAGTACCGTGCAGAGCCACCTGGGAATGCCTTATAACCCCAACTTAGACAGCCCAGGCCTGGGTAAAAGCTCATGTGGACGTCACACAACTGCATCATTAGGAGGCTGGGTGGGTTGGTGGACAAGACCATTGCTTTCCCAGGACTGAGGAGCTTCCAGATGGCCCCACCTTATTGCACGCTCTGTGGTCTTGGAAGTTCTCCATTTGGTTCATGATGATATTCTGAAAGGATGAAATTTTGTTCTTGGAGATCAGACCCAGGAATAAAGAGAGGCACACAGAAGCACTGGCCTGGATCCTGGGTTTGGTGACTCATTTATGTCTTCTTGTAGGTCAAAATTGTGCTCCATGACAGGTGCTGAGCAAATGTTGATGGAATGGATGTTTCACCAGCAGCTTGGCAAGCGGTGGTGGTGGAGCACTTAGCCTGCGTGGGTTCTTCTGCCCAGGGAAGGCTCCGAGTCAAGTCTGAGTGTGAGGAGCCTGGGTCAACTCTGTGCTGATGGTTCACTCTGCGGCATGGCAAGAACCAGCTACCAGGGCATTGCAGCTTGCTGCCTGAGTTCCCTCAGTAAGCATCCTTTGATCCTGGTAACATCCATCAGGGATGTGGGAGAAGTCCAAAGCTATTTATCTGAAATCCTGAAATCCAGAAAGCTCTGAAAGCCAGATGTTCATTCATAAGTTTGGCACAAAGTCATGTGGCAGCAAAATCTGAACTGAATAAATGTGATGGTATTTATCATCTGCATTTATTTTATAGGATGGGAAGACGCATAGGTGTGGGTGCAGAAATGTTAATGAGTTTCATTTCAGGGTGCTCTTCTGGACTCTACTGGAGGTTGAACACGGTATGGTGAATATACACCTGTTCATGCATTAGTTATTGACTATTGCATAACAAAGGACCCCAGAGCTTAGTGACTTTGGTAACATGCATTTATTATTTTATAGCTTCCATGGGTCAGGAATCTGAACATGGCCTAGCTAGATCCTCCAACTCAGGGTCTTGTAAAAGGCTGAGGTCAAGGTGCAAGCCTAGGATCTCTTCCAGATTTGCAGTACAGGTGTAAACAGAAATCATGATCATCTGTGTTTAACTGAGACAACATCTTTATCCAAGGTCACTTCATGGTTGTTGACAACACTCAGCTCTCAATGGGCCAACATGACTCTCTCCATCCAAGCAACCATGGACAAAGGACCAGAGATAAACACCAGCATGATGGAAGTCAACAAGCATGTGACTTCCCGGTAGTGTACCCACATTCTCTCATTGGATGGGAGTTGGTAATCTAGCTTACACCAAGGCAAGGGGACTTCATAGGATGTGGACACCAAGAAGTGATGACCTTTGGAAGCCATATTAGAAGCTCATAACCACCATGTTTCACTTCAAACTCTATATCCCCCTTATGTTGTGACAGACCCATATAACCACCCTCACTGAGCAAGAGGAAAATACATTCTGATCCATGGATGTTATCATGGCCTAGATCCCAAGATTGCAGAAATGTGAGCAAACACCTGAACTTAAGCCCTTCTGGTTTCCTTTCTCTTCCCTTAACAAACTCTAGCTCCATGCTCCACAGTTAAAGGTAGCCAGGTAGAAAAGGACACTCTCTGAATCCTCCTAGTCCCAGGCTTCACCCAGTTCCATGACTCACCAACCACGTGACCCTGGACAAGTCCTCAGCCACTTTGAGCCAAAGCTTTCTCATCTATAAAATAAGAATCCCCGCCCTCAGCGGATGCTGCTGCCAGGAAAAGATGATATAAACATCCATGAAAAGTCACTCACTGCACCTGGTGGCCCATTGGTGCCTAGATAGTAGCTCTCTCACCTAAGATCTTCCCCCTACCTTTGCTCCCTTCTACTTCTTGAGACTGGACTGGGAGGCACAATCATGCCCATGTCCCAGATGACTAACTGGATTTTCCCTGTATTACCGCAGACAGTCATTTCTCCTGTCTGCAATCGTTTTAGGAACACAGGCACCAGGAGAGAAGAAGCAGGAAGTGGTGCTCTCAGGGCTTCACACCCGACCCATCCCTGGCTGAACATACTGGATTGAGAAGCCAGTGTCCATCCCGTTTCTTCCATGTGGCTGACCCTCAGCTGGGACCCACTCATTGGTCAGCAGCAGGCACTCCTGCACTTGCTGGGCAGTTCTGAAGGACAAAACAATGGAGAATTTTTACTTACTAATTCACTTTTGGTCACTGATCCTGGGAGAACCTGATGGGAGTTGTCGATGAATCTACTCGTACACTGAGAAACTTTTTAAAAGGCTTAAAAAGACAGTCGTAAGCCCAGGGTCCCTCTTCGGGTTGCAGCATCAGTATGAACAGAGCCCCAGGTCGTCTGTGTTTAACTGGGACTTTGTCCTCTTGCAAGGTCGCTCCATGGTTGTGAGCAGGATTAACCGACCTCCTGGTAAGAAACCCAACTGGAGGGAGTGAGTGGGTAGAGAAGCCTTGGTTCTTATGTGTTTCAGCCTGTGCCTAGCTCTTTTCTGAAACAAAAACTCACTGCAGCTAAAATAAAGACATGGAGTCTCCCAAGCTACATGATCCTCTTGGTGGCTAGATTTGGTTTTTAAGAAAAAGCTCTGAGGAAACCACGTCTCTTTAGCCCCCAGCCCTGGGACAATACATATAGCCTGTCACAGGTGGCCACAGTTCCAGGAGATTGGAAGCTGGACTCCTGCCCACCTGGCCCTCACCACCTGGTCCCCATTTCTGATCTCAGCACTGGCCAGGGCCTGAAGTCTGTACATAGCCCAGGGACTTTTATCTGCTTCCAAATCAGGGAAGGTCACAGCACCAGGGATTCCACATAACGTCCCCCAGACATTGAGACACAGGGTACAGAGCCCCGGGCACTCTCAGGCAGCACTATGCTGAAGTTGGGTCAGCTGCTTTACAAACTCAGACCTCTGCTCTGCTCCTGGTTGCTGTATGGCCCGAGGGAACTGCCTTCTGTACTCAAGGCTTGGTCTCCTCATCTGTAAATGCAGATGACCTCAACACCTGCCTCACACGTTGTGTAGATGCAGCGAGTAACTGGTAAACAACCCAGGCCGATTGGGCCTGGCCTGAGGCAAGCTGTGTACTGTACAGTTTCACTCCCACTGTCATCACCCACAGCATGGCTCTGGTGTTTGTCAAGGGAGCCTGGGACCCCAGGCCACTCCCTTCATGCCCCGGGACAAGGTAACTTTGTGAGTCCTCCATGTTGCCATGTAAGAATGATAATGAATTGTCCTCAAGGATGGTGTTCCAGGGTGAGGAGCACACACCAGCATTTCCTGGACCCACATGGAAACTCCATTTCCCAGTGTCCTTTGTAAGGAAGTGGGGCCATTTGCCTGAATCCTGGCCAACAGGAGATTCATGTGCAGTACTTCCTGTCCAGACCCTCCCCATCACCATCACCACAGTGCTCTCTCCCTTTCTTAAGAAGCTGGAAGGTGTTGCCACTAGAAGGGAGCACTATGGTTCCCTGAGTTACTCCATGGAAGACAGCATCTAGGAGGACCAGGAAGCACCAAAGACCTGTGACATGTCCAAGGAGGAATTCTAGAAAAAAGTGGTTTTAGCATGTTTATTAAATGTTACTATATGGGAGGTGAAGGGATGAATCTAGTTCTTAAAAATAGTAACAGCTAAACCCCAGGAGCTGATGCTAGAAAGGAGGCTTTACTTGCATTATCGCAGTACTCTGCTTCAGTAATTGCTAACTCTGATATTATTAGTGTACTTAATTTGTAGGTTAAAAAACCAAGACTTAAAGAATTTCAACAGCTGTGCTAAAATCCCAGAGGTGACAGGTAGCAGAAACTGAACTTAAAATTTGGGCTTTATGATTTCAAATCCAGCCATATCTTTAACCACAGTGCCAGCCTGGTGTTTCTTTCTTAAGCAGGCCCACCACCTATAGGGTGAGACATATTATGAACAGAAAGTTTTGAATGTCACAAGAAAAGGCAGATAAGATGTGGTCAGGATTCACCTGAAGACTTCCCGCTGGGAATCAAGAAAGGCTCCCTCACACCATAGAAACTATTTAGTATTTATACATGTGTGTCCTATTTATTTCACTTAAGAGTGTGGGCTCAATGTGCATCCATTTAGCTGTAAATGTCTCTAGTTTCTCATTCTTTATGGCTGAGTAGCACTCCATTTTATATAAAATATCCACATATCTTCTTTATCCAGTCTCCATTTGATGGGCAATTGGGCTGTTTCCAAGTTTTAGCTATTATAAACTGTGCTGCTATGAACATGGGTACCCATATATTGCTGTGGTATGATGCTTTTAATTCTTTTGGGAAGATCCCCAGCAGGGGAATAGCTAGGACAAATGGGACCTCTAATCCTAGTTCTTTGAGGTATCTCCATACTGATTTCCACAGGGCTTGCACCAGTCTACACTCCCACCAGCAATGGAGCAGGGTTCCTCTTTCCTCACAGACCCGGTAGCATTTGTTATGGTTGATTTCTTGATAGCAGCCATTCTTTCTGGAGTGATGTGATATCTCACTGTTGGTACAAATACCCAATGATGAATGTCACCATATTGTGTAACTAAAATGTACCAATGAACTTAATGAATTTAAAAAAGAGAGCCTCCCGGGTGGATGCAGAATCAGCTCCATGCACATGTAACATCACATCCTGAACACCTGGGCTCCTCATCATTCTTCAGCTCCACCTGCACTCTCCTCCAGCAGTGTGCTCCTTCTGCCTTGCTCTCCTCCTCCCTCTATGCCATCTTACCCATCCTGTTTGCTCCCAACCCCATGTAATCTTGTATCTTCTGGGAAGCTCTTCTACAACCACACAGGAATGTCTACCAAAGGTAGAAGTGGTCACTGGAAACCTCAGCTGTCCATCAGAAGTGTGGCCACAGCTTAGAGACAGAGGAGTGTGGAGGCCCCGTGGGCTGGTGCCTTGGGCCCAGGCACTTTGCCATGGACTGGCTGTCTATGTCATCAAGCTCCTGGAAGAGCCAGGGACAAGGCCTGACGAAATTGTCCTCAGCCCCACAGACCAGGATTACTATGGTGCACACAGCGTATCACCTTCCCCTTGGAATAAATTGTACCAGACAGTCTTTGAATTTCTCTCAGGCTCAGCTGCTGTGTCACAAACCCTGAGAGAGTAGCTTCAAGTATGTATTTTGATAACATTCTCTAGATGATTCTGAGGCTTTGTGATGGTTACACTTAATTATCGGTTTGACAGGGGAACTGGGTGGTCATGGAAGCATGACCTTGGGAATGTGTCTGTTCCCTCAGCCCTTCTTCTCCGGCACTGTTTGCCTGCTCTGCTTCTTAGCTGCCACAAGCTGAGTAGCTTTGCTTCTCCAGGCCTTTTCCACCATGATGCTTCTGCCTTGGAGCCAGCCCTTCATGGACTGAACCCCCCAAAACTGTGAGCCAAAGAAACCTCTCCTCAAAATGGCGGGTGTCCGATATGTGAAGAAAAGCTCACTAATACACATACTGTGAGAAAAAAAAATATTTGTCTTAGAATAGAAGGACCAGTTGCACACCTCAGCTATGCTCAGGAGCACAGGCACGTGGGTACTGAGGTGAAAAAAGCAAGTATTCTTCAGAGCCGTCTGCCTGGGAGGAGGACTCCAGGTGCACAGAGCCAGAGGTGACATAAACAGGGCTTGGGTTCTGGTGCTCAGGGCAGATCTAACTGCCTGGCGCCACGCTTCTCTCCTGTAGTCTCATCGAATCATTTGTTCTTCTACTCCTGGAATGGGACACTTTGGCAGTCAATGCTAAGAGGAGGAATTTGCCCTCAGAGATCAGAACAAGCAATAATTACCATTGCTACTGGCAAAAGAGAGAAGATGAGAAAAAGCACCCTCAGAGACAAGGAGGCCTCTGCTCAAGCCAGAGCATCTCTCACAGACAGGAGCAGAGAAAAAGAACAATCCACCCAAGCTCCCACCTGAGAGGTCTCCAGAGCAGCGAGCTCATGTCAAAGACAAAACTGCCTTCTCAGAACAAAAACCGAAACATCAATTCACAAAGAGGCTGGGGACAAAGAAAAGAATTCCAATGGCTCTTTGACTCCACGACCTAGCTAACTGAGGCACAGCGATAAAACTCATTTTTTTCTGGGTCATGCCACTAAAATAAAAGATCTTGGCCAATTCGGTGAAACAAATCAGTGCAGTGAGTTTCATTCTTCAGCTTTTCAAAATAACTAGCCACAATCATGGTTCTTATAACACTGATCCAAATCATTTCTAACGGAATGTAATTATGAGGTGGTTTTGCTCAACACTATTCATTTACAAATGGGGAAACTGAGGCTCAGAAAAGGAGAGAGTTAGACTGAAGTTGCATGGCTAAATCAGTGGCCTGTTTTGTCCAGGTCACCTTGCTTTGTGACTTTCTGAAGCAGCTGACTGCTTACAGGTGCCATGTCATCACAGTGTCAAAATGGCTCAGCCTAAGTGACAGAAACAGGCAGAGAGGAACCCGGACTAACTGAAGCAAACCACACATTGCATGGAAGAGATCAGCACAAGGGATCTGGGACCCAGCTTCTTGGATTTGATTAGCATGAGTTCACTCAGTACTGGGCAGTGCAATACACGTGTTAGCTACAATTACTGAGCTCCATACTTTTGGGAAAACAACTATTTGTGGAGCTACATATATATTTACACGCATTTTCTTTACTTACCAATGAGTCAGGAATTCTTGTCTTCTCTTTATCCTTGAGGAACTGGGTTCCTAGAGATAAAATGACATGCTGAATTTGTCATTGGCCATTGAGTTTGTCACTGTGGGTGGCAGGATTTGAAACCAGCCTCACTGGATGGAAGGCATCTCTTCTTCCCATGCCTCCTGTACAACTTCCCACTTCTGGGCTGATACCCACACAAAGATCATGGGAAAGGAAGTAGAATACTTTGAAGAAATTTTAGGATCAGGATAGTTTTGCTTCTACACTGAGTTGTAACATGCTGGAAATAAATCAAAAGTGAAAAAAATACAAACCGTGTGAAAATTTCTCAAAGTATAGGCTGCCTTGCAGTTTTGCTATGAAAAAGAAATCATTTGTACCTAAGACACTGGGTAAGTACTTACTGAATGGACATTAGCCACAGTGCTAGGTCTTATGGATATCATAGCAGGAGTGTCTGCAGCCTGTGTTCTAAGACAACCAGGAAAATAAGACATAGTTGAGTATATGATTTTTCCCAAAGATTTCATCAGACATCCCTACTGATTGCCATGGATCCCGCTTCTTCCGGTGGAACCTATGGAGTCCTTACCTCATGCACTTTGGACTTGCCCAGGAAGATGTGGGAAGCATAAAGCATTTCATATCCAAGTCAAAGCTTCAAGAGACATTGAAGTTCCTTTTTACCACTCTTTTGACCTCTTGCATGACAATAGTAGGTCCTAGATGGTGTTGTCCATCAGCCTTGGTTCCAGGCTGAGAAGACATGGAGTAGTTAGAGCTCCATCCCATAGAGATACAACCTAGAGCACAGCCAAGGAGCAGCCTACATGTAACATGAGCGATGAATAAGTGTGGGTTTGTATCACTGCAACTTTAGTGTTGTTTGTTATGAAAGCAAGGCTGACTAATAGAGAGGATATGAAAATGATTCAAACTAATTTTGAGACAAAGTAAAGAGTGATGACTTCTAAGAGACAAACATACACAATTGTTGTAGGCCTATAGAAAGAAAATATTGCCTCTGCTGCTGAAAATCAAGGTGGTCCTACAGAGATGGTGGTAGGTGAGGTAGACACTCACATCATGCAAGCCCGGGCAGTTGGTTGGGATGGGGTGAACAGATCCAGAATATCTGCGAGAGCATCTTCATTCTCTGATACCTTTAAACCCCTTGAGGACTGTGTGAATTTGGGTGAACTATTACCTCGATGCACAATTTTAAGAACTCTGGTCATAGTATACTAATCTGTCCTTCTGGAGGTGTTCTTGGGACTGGGGTGCATCCTCTGATACTCATTTGATGGAGATCAGAAGACCTGCCCTAGATTCAGAAATGAGGGCCAGGATACTGGACATCACAGCTGGGCTTATTGCTGTTCTTGAGATTAAAGGACTGCGGTTTTGGATTATGTCCCTTGCATCACCACCTGGCCTCAATTTCCATACTCCTTTACTGAGAGGGAGAAATGAAAATCTCTAAGGACTCTTTCAATTCTGAAAAATCTGAGCTGCTGAGGATTCATTTTCATGAAAGTCTCCGATGCCGCTTTTGATTTCAGCTGCCAATTAAGTGTCATGTCACACATGCATATAAGGTGGCTGTGTTGACCCAGACAATGGAAAACATCAGCTTTGTCTGCAATAAAGGTCTCCCAGTTAATTGCCAGTCTCCTCACTCTCCTGGGTCTTGTTCTTTCACATCCCTGCTAACCTTTCATTTTTCCTCTGTCATCTCTTAAAAACTGTACATATTCTCCCGGGAGCTCTTCTTTCTCCCACCCTCTGAATCTTAACTGCTTATAAACAAATGCTGAATTCCATACTCAACATCTTTCAGTTCCATCTCTCTTATTCTTTCCTCGTGATATATTTCTGAGCTGTTCAAGCAAGGTGAAAACTTGAATGATTCCTTTTGTCCCTGTTGTAGTTTAGATCTAAAATGTCCCCCCAGCAAGCCCATGTGTTCAGAAAATATGCTCTGGCAGGTGACTGGATCATAGGGCCCTTACTCCATTAGTGCATTAATCCATTATGGAATCATGACTTGAAGGCATTATTGGAAGGTGATGGGAACAGGAGGTGGATTCTACTGGAAGGTAGGGATCATGAGGTGTGACCTTGGTGACTCTATCTGGTCACCGCTCTTCTCCTCTGTCTCCTTGTCTCTCTGTCTCTCTGTCTTTTTGCCTCCTGTATGCAACTGGGTGAGCAGCTCTTCTCCACCACACTCTTCTGCCATGATGTTTCTGTCTCACCTCAGTCCTAAAAACACTGGAGCCAGCTTACCATGAACTGAATTCTCTGAACCCATAAGCCAAAATGAACCTTTTTTCCTTTCAGTTATTTTTCTCAGATATTCAATCTGAAGGACCACAGTGAAGGGAAGCTAACAGTTCCAGACAACAAAGCTATTTAAAACTCTGTTGGACTTATGTCAAAAAATACACAAAATCTGAGCTTTTCTCACTGACTCTAGCATGACCACTACTCACTCTCTCTCTCTCTCTCTCTCTCTCTCTCTCTCTCTCTCTCTCTAGTGATTGCTGCAGCCTAACTGTAATCCCTGATCCTCCCTTGTCCCCACACTGCTGCCAGGGTGATGGTCATCAGAGGAAAGCAAATAGGGCAGTCATGAACATGGGCCACTCAGCTGTCCTGCTGCAAGGACTACAATGAACCGATGACCCAGTTGTAGGACCTCTGAGTGCACCACAGTATTCATGCTGAGGTGGCTTCTCCAGGGACGCTTCTAGGCAGGAACCAAGCATGGTGGAGAAACCAATGCAGGCTGATAACCTCAAACTCACCCAGTGCAAATACCCTTCAGGAATAAAGGGGAAATAAAGACATTTTTATATGAGGCAAATCTAAGCGAATTTGTTACCAGCTATCTGAAAAAAATGCTAAAAGAATGGTTTTCAAATCAAAGGAAAATGATAGTATAAGAAAACTTGGAATATCTGGAATGAAAGAAATAGTACAATTATTGGAAAACCTAATAGACTCTTTCCTCTTAAAATCTTTAAAATACACATGACAGTTTAATGCAAAAATTCTAGCATTGGTTAATGAGTTTTCTCAGAGATTTTTTGATATAATACATATGAGAAGACAATGATCAGGAATGGAAGAATGTAAAAGAACCTGTATGGTAAAAAGGTTTCTGGGTCTCACAGGAAATGGCAGAATACAAAATCCAAAAGCAACGTAAAATGTTAAGTGTGCATATTGCAATCCCTTGGGCAACCACCAAAATCTGTTAGTCAAAAACTCATTAAATAGATCAAAATAATTTAAATAATCCAAAATAACATAGGAATGGGAAAACAAAAGAATAAAAAAGATAACAAATAATGAATAATGAAACAGTAAATTTTACTAAAAACACTCAATAATTATATTAAATGTAAATAATAACTTAAAAGGCAAAGATTCTCAGACTAGATAATAAAGAAAGATAAGACTCAATTTCATGCTCCCTATAAGCAACTCACACATTATAATAAATGTAATTTATAGTGCAAATTTAATGATAAAGGTAATTAAAAGAAGAGAAAAAGATATGACATAAAAACATTAATCCAAAGGAAGATAGAGCAACTATATTAACATCAGACAAAGCAGACTTATAAGCGAGAAAAATTATCTTACACAAAGGACATACAAAATGTTGGACCAGTTTGCCAGGAGATACAAGAGATACTGGAGTCATAAGGATGAAGTCAATTTTCCAAAAGTAAAAGTTTAAATATGCATGTATTTAACAACAGAGCTTCTAAATATATGAAAAAATTAAGAGCTGATACAACTGAAAATGGAAAAACAATACTGAATATCAAAAACCCTAACCTGATTTTTAAACAATATACCTGTACCTGGGCAAACAAGAGAGAAGACATAAATCAATAATATCAAGAACAAAAAGAAGGCATCACTACAGACCCCCTAGACGTTAATACAACAAAAAGAGATTACTACACATGCAGAATTTGACACAATAGATGGAAAGGACAAGTCCTTCTTAGTCATAAACCACAAATGGTCATCCAAAAAGAAATGGACAACATGAATAGTTCATAAATAGTTAAAAAGTTGGTTTTACACTTAGAAATGTTCTCACTAAAATAGTTTAAGACTACATGATTTCAGAGCCAAATACTACCAAATATTTAAAGAAGAAATATCAAGTTCTCTGTAGTCTCTTTCAGGCAACAGAAGAGGCAAGGATATCTCTGAATTCATTTTATGAGTGCAGTATTATTCTGATACCAAAAGTTCACAAAGGAAATGGAACAATATTCTTAATGAATACAGAAGAAAACTTCCCCAATAAAACTCAGACAGCAAATCAGCTGGCTGATAGTGTAGTTCAGTGGTAAGTGCCTAGCATGCATGAGGCCCTGGGTTCTTCCCCTACTACCACAAAAACCAAACCAACCAAACAAAAACAATAAAAGCCTTCTACTAACAGCAAATAAAACCCAGAAACTTATACAGGTAATAATATACCTATCATGAAGTTACTATTTTAAAACGATGAAGAAGAAAAAATGATATCAATTATATGTAAAAACAGATTTTAACAAAAATAAAAACTTATTCATGATAAAAACAAAACTCTAGCAAACAAGGAATAAAATGGAGTTTCCTTAATTTGTGACAAAAGTCCCTCTGCCAACACAAGGCAAAGAGTCTACTCACTGCTTTGATTCAAAAATGCTGGACATGTAGCCAGTGCAATAAAGTACGAAAAGCTAATAAAGGGAACACAATATGGAAAGGAAACAATACATTATTTTGTAGAAATTCCAAAGGAATCTACAAGAGTTTCCTAGACTTATTATCAAAGTTGTAAAGACAAAAATTTAGTTTATTTATGGAATGATTGTGTAAATATTGGACAGATATATATGCAAACAAATGAGCTTTGACCTAAATCTCACCCCTTATAACTCTGACTGGATCAAAGATCAAAATATATGACTTCAAAAACTATAAAACTATAAACCATCAAAAGAAACCGTAGGAAAATTTTTTATGATAGTTATGATCACAAAATCATGAATCATATAGGAAAAAATACTAGATTAAATTTCATCAAATAAAATAGTTCTCTGGGAATGACAATGTTAAGAGAACAAAAAGATAAATACTAGGCTGAAAGAAATATTTGGAAATTATACAACCAATAAAAAAACCTTGTATTCAAAAAAAATATAATATGATTTTTAAAAACTCAACACTAAGGAAATAAGCAATCCAGTTTAAAAGTGGGCAAAAAACTTGAATATTAACTTTCTCAAGAAGAGCATACCAATGACAAACACATAATTTATGGTCAGCCCCATTACTCATAGGAAAATGGAAATTAAAATCATAATGAGACAGTACATTTTCTAGAATGTGAGCAACACTGAGCAATAGGGCCTTTTTTACATTGTTGATGGGAATCCAAAATGGTATGGCTACTCTAGAAAACACTGTGGTAATTTCTTACAATGGTTTACATTCCCTGATCATCATCTGATTCAACAATTTCACTCTAAAGTGTTTATCACAGATGAAAAATTTACACGTGTTTATTTTAAAGGAACAAAACCCATGCGTATGTTTATATCAAGGTTATTGAGATTTGTTGCAACCTGGAAACGACCCAGAAGTTCTCCAGTGGGTGAATGTATGACCGGACCATGGTACCTCTCCCCGTATGCTAATGGATACCTGTCGACCAGAAAGACCGACTTTCTGATACAGCGAGTCTGAGGTATCTCAAAAGCTTGCTCTTGGGTGAAAAGACCAGCTCCAAAATATTATACAATAGATGCACTTAGGATTTTTTAAAGCCTCTTTGCAAGCAAGGAGTACAAGGAATTTTTGTAACATAATTGATCATATGTACCTAAAATATATGGCAAATATTGTTCATGGTGACCCACTGGAATTAATGTTCTTATTAACAAGGCAAGAATATTCACCTTTCCTACCATTTCTATTTCATATTGTCTTGTAAATCTTAGTCAACAAAATAAAGGGAAAAGTTAACTTAGGGAAAGAAAACAAATAAAAAAACACTTTTTACAGCTTATAATTGAGGTAGGAAATTCTAGAGACCCTACAGATCATTAAAAGAAGCCTTTTTGAATGGTAACATATGGAACAATATATTTTTAAACTGAATTTCTACATTCAAGCAAAAATACAATGATACCCTTTATTTACAAAGACAATAAAAACATATGGTACATATAAATGGCTCTGTTAAAGGAGGTACAGCTCCTATCATAAAATAATAAAACTTTACTGAAACTTATTAAGACCCAAGTACACTGGCAGACATGCCATAACTAGCCATACAAAGGCTCGCTGTGAAGATCAAGATAAATTTTCTCACTGATTTAATCCAATTCCATCCTAATTCTACAAACATGGTTTGAAAATTTAAGAAGCTGAGGGCTGGGGATTTAGCTCAGTGGTGCTGCTGCCTGCCTCAAAAGCACAAGGTCCTGAGTTCAATCCTCAGTACCAAAACAAAACAAAACAAAAACTTGAGAAGCTGAGCTGAAATCTACAAGGAAAAACAAAGAGCTCAAAATATCCAAGGCAACCTGGAAGAAGAACAGCCTGGATGAGACGCTGACATCCCTTCTCCCAGTCCCTTCCTAGGTCAGAGGTGGCAAACCTGTGGCGTACTTGTTGTTGTTTTTCTTTTAAGACGAAAGATGTTAATGTACGAGTTTTTTTAAACTAAACCTCAATATTCAGATTTAATTGCAGTGTTGGCACTTTTTGATAAATAGATTTAGGGTTGCAATTTGGGGCCTCATCTCTAAAAGTTTCGCCATCACTCTTTAGGGTCTATAGTGAAGAGGTTGTACTTAAGACTGTGGGTATTGAAGAGAAGACAGGCACGTTGTTTAGTGTAACACAAGAGAGAACCCAGCAAAGGACCCCAATGCTGTAACCGGAACTTGATCAAGGTAGCTTTTGGAGAAAATTGCTGGAGAAATGACCGACACTGGAACGATCCTTTTCATTTGGTTATTGATATGGAGAAAGATGATACTACACATCCACTGTACACAAATCTCACATGCACTCAAGAACAAACTGCAAGAGAAAAAAAGTTACAATATTCTGATAATGTCCGAACAAAAATATTTTCTGAAATAAGCCTCTCCCAACCTCCCATAAGAAAGGCTTAATGACATAGAAGATGCAATTATGAATTTAATTACATTAGCATCAAAATTCTATTCATCCAAAGGCATCATATCAGGTAGAAAAAGACAAGCAGCAAACTGGGAGAAGAGTTGCAACACAAAAAGCAAACCAAAAACATATCAAAAATATATAAAGATTTAACCCAAATAAATGAGAAAAATACAAAAATTCAATAAAATTATAGGTAAAAGCCTGAGGAGTCCCATCCATAGGAAGAAAGCTCATAGGATATATGATATGTATTTATGCATATACAATTAGTGTACAAATATACATATAATATCTGTGATTAGTAACCTTTTAAAAACAGATTAACACATTTATAACCACTACATAAGTAAAAATTAAGACAGCCTACAATACCGGGTGTTGGTGACCATTTGGGGAGTGGAAATTGGCCTGACCCCTTTGGAAAGTAATTTAATATTATCTTATGAAATTGAAGATTTCCATTCCCAAATAAGCTACATTCCATTCTCAGGTGTATACATTCTGATGCATGTGCCCAGGGCAAGTGTCCAAGAATGTTTACACAAGCATAGCAAAAATCTGGCCCAGAGTCAAGAACTCAAATGGGGAAGACTCAAATCTCACTGACACTATTCACTGAGTGGATTCCAACACGCTATGCACTATTGCCACATTTCAGCATGGTTCTACCTGGAGGTATGTAAGGGCTTGAAAGATGATGGGTGTAGACTATGACATAGCGATGGGTCTTACGAACCTTCAAATAATAATGTATAAAATACCAATACTGTGTTTAGGAATATACATGCATCGAACACAAAATTTTAAATGGGAGGAACACAGACCAGAAATTCTCTGGGGAGGACGTTTACAGGGTACTGATTTTCTTCGTAAGTGTTTATATTATTATCATCAACAAGTATTAGCATTCTATCATTAAATATATTGTTTTGCATGAGTCAAAGAGCACATCATCATTATTTAGAACAATGGCAAAACGAGAGAAGGTGAAGGCCAGCAGGTACAAAGCGCCTAAGCAGGCAGGGCTATTGGAGGAAGGAAGAGATGGTGAGCAGCTGCTGTGTCAGGTGTCCTCAGTCAGGGAAGCTGATCTGCTGTAGATCGGCAGCAAGGAGGAGAGGGGCATGTGCCCTGGTTGTCCCTTGCTACACTAGACACCAAACCCAAGTCTGGGGCTTGAGGGGCACCGGCACGGATCCCACCCAGTACCTGTAGTCAGGCAGGCTCACCAGGCAGCAGGCGTCCTTGGCCAGAAGGACAGGGAAGATGACTGTAGGCCCTTCAGAGCTGGGGCCCTTTGGGCAGCTCCTTCTCCTGCTCGAATGTGGTCTTCTCCGGGTGACCACTCAGGGCACCCAGCCCTCCTGGAGATGCCCTGGGACTGCAGTGTCAGCCCAGCAGGGAGCCCACAGAAAGCTGTGCCACCCTTCCTAATTCAGCCTCAGACAGCACGTAGTATTGCTTCTACCAAGTCCTGCTCATCACAGTGGTTACCGAAGCCACCCACTTTCAAGAGGATGGAGAAGCAACCCCTCCTTATGACGGGGGAATGGAGGCTCTGGAGAAACATGCAGAACTGGATATGTAGTTATGGCTGTTTTTGAAAAAATAATCAGCCACAGCATGCTGTAGTGTCTGTCAGTAGCTGGGCCAAGGTCGAACTGGAGTCCAGAATCAAAGTGGCCACGGTCACAGAACCCCTCAGTGGAGGGTAAAGTGTTTACATCTGCTACAAGAGTCAAAGAGAAAGCAAATTCCGGATAAAAAAGGTGACGAGGAGAAAATCCCATAGTCAGAGGAGTTGGTTTGTCTCAATATGAGAAGGAAAGATGTCAGGAGGGAGAAGCTGGTGGCACCATCAGGCAGATGGAAGAGCACGTAGGGGTGGCACTAGGGACGGGGAAATCAGTGTGGGACTATGGAAGGGAGAGGAGAGCACAGGGCTGGTGCCCAGGGTGTCTGCGAATGAGCAGCAGATGGCAAAGGCCGAGGACTTGGGATGGCGTCTCCACCCCTAAGCAGGACCTGAGGGAGGAAGAAGCCCTAACACAGCAGATTATCGGTTCTCCAAACAGCTCAGCCAGCAGCCAGGCCCACTGCATTGCAGGCAGAAAGTGATGTCCTGTCAGAAGGGGAACTGAATAATTTAGAGTGATGTTGCCCATGAATGTTTAATGATATGAAAAAATGTTCATGAGACAATGTTAAGTTAAAAAAAAAAGCAGATTGCAAAATTGTATAAATGCACGGAAAGGAAAAAAAGACATTCATTAAAAATATTAGCAGGATTTATCTCCAGGTAGGGGAATTATTTGCTTTTCCTTTGTTTACTTTTCTGTAATTCTAAATTTCCACAATAAAATAATTAAATTTTAATTGTTAAAGCATAGTAATTGTTATATTTTAAAGAAAATATCCACCTTTAAGCTAAAGAACACCAGGAAGAGCCTGTTTTTAATGAGATTTAGTTACTCAGTCCCTCACTATGAAATTTTATTTCCTCTCCTAGTTGCTTACCTAAAGCTGTTTTTTCCTTACCTATTAAAATAAGCAGCAGCTCTCAAAGTGTGAGTCTTCCTGGATTGGAAGATGGAAAAATTGTTTTCATAATAACACTCTGAGGTGATTTCTTTTTGTCACTGTGTTGGTGTCGGCATTGACGGTGCCAAAGCTGTGCCCCGCAGAACTGCAGCCTCTTGCGCTTGGAGGGAGGTGGCGGCGCCAGGTTGTCATTGTGTTCGCTGCCACACACCTGCCGCAGAAAGTGAAATAGGAAAAGAGAAGGAAAACGAGCAACAGTGTTACTTATGCTCTGGACGAAGCATTAAGCAAAATGTACTGTATTGAATCTCCACTCTTCAGAGCACGTCTTTTAATATTCTGTACGCAGACAAAAGGGAAATACACACCCAGGTCCCCTAAACATCCAAGTGATTAGGAAAGGGCATGCTGGGCTGACTTACAAACTGAACTGGATGCTATTCCCATGGGTGCCACCATTTATACTGGGATGGCTGACTGACACACTTCAGTTATCAGACTTGGCTGGAAAGTAGATATTTTTGTGAAAATGAGCAAAGTGAGTTGTCTACTGCAGAGGAAACTAATGGACAGTTTTGTATTGCAGATGGCAAAATTTGGACTTCTAAGAAAAAAAACAGAATTTTTGAAAACTGCTCTTTTACCATGAGCTTGATTGCTTCCCAGTAAAGACTTTTCTGGATGAGATGATTGGTGGTTTGTTCTTAATTATTGTATAATGAAATGTATCAACATTTAGACGTTCTGCATAACTTAATTAAGTAATATTCTCCAACCAACCAACGGATGATGTCATAAAATTGTGCATGGGTAAAAATATCTACAGCAAGTGCAACTACCAGGATACCAGGATAACAAAACTTTATCAATGTGGTCTCAGATTCTATATGCAGCTAACCTTTAATCAACTCCTACTTGTCAAGTTTTGGTACAGTAGAACAAAAATTGTTCAGGATTTTCTGAAAAGGCTGCTAAAATACTCTTCCTTTTGTCACCCTGCAGATCCTGCAAGCTTGCATGCAGAGGTTAGGATGAGAATCTAGCTCTGTGCTACTGAGCCAGATGTTAAAGACATTTGCAAAATCAAAAAGCAGTGCTACTTGTCAATATTTTTAAATTATTTTAATTATTTTCTAATTAACAACTATAATTTTTGATTTATAAAGCAATTGTTTTTCATTAAAATGTTACCTCTGTTAGCATGGCATAGGTTTGTTAATCTTAAAGAATTAATAAATGTTTTTAAATTATCAGTTTTTATTTATATTACAGAAAATGACCACGTAAATCAGTGCTCTTTGAACTCCTTAGTCTTTGAGAGCAAAGGGCCCCTTGTGTGCCTCTAGTCCCCCCTTCACTGAGATCACTGACACCAAGAAGATGCTGTAACTGTTCGTCTTCATGGCACAGACTCGGCAATGAAGGTGCAGAGTGTTCACACAGGGTTAACTGTCCAAGGTCACACAGACGCAATTGCAATAAATACTCAAATCACCATCTTCTGACTCCAGCCTGTTTGTTCTCATTTTATAACCACCACCAGTTTTCGTATCTCAACCCTGTATTTGCAATCATCCTGAACATAAACCTCCCAGTGCTGCTCCAACACTTCTACCACATTTCAAATTTAACAATCAAGGACAATTCAGTTTGGTTTGTTTTTACTTCTCAGTTTTACTTCATAATTACCCAGATAAGTTATTTTTCTTGTTGTACCGGCAGAATTGTTTTCCTATTTGATACAAATTCTTCTCCTCGGTGCTGCAACTATGTCTTGCTACCTGCATTTCCGGTGGACTGTGCATCTCAGCACAGGATCCCACCTGTATCCTAGGTTTCGGAACAGTGTGTTTGGGGATGGTGACTGCCAGGAGCATCACAGGACATGCTATGCTAAGCATGTCAACAGCTGTTTTCTGGGGTTATTGATGTGCCCATTTTACAGGTGAGGATGCTGAGGATCAGCAAAGCCGATCTACCCAAAGACATAGGGATCATTCTTCTCTCAAGCAGGATTCAAGTACACTTCCCTCTGGCCACATTAGAGAGCAAAGCTGAAAGAATTACCTAACTATCTTTCATTTAATATTTTCGGAGGTAAGAAATATCACTCTTTACTGGATGGTTCAATTTTTGTTTTAATAGATAAGACTAATAATCATAAAGTTCTTCCTTGGGGGTATTGGCACTTGCACCCAAAACCCTATGATGATAAGTGTCTACATATTTACACTCTAGTTATAACTCACAGAGCTCTGAAGAGCAGTTGGAGATGGAGAGCCCTTAGCGGGAAACGGGGTGCAAGAGTTCACTACAGCTGAGAAGGTGTTTAGCTGCTGAGTTAGGGGATTTCTGCAGTTTTACCTTTTAGGGTATTCCTCCTGCCCCAGGTATTAGATACATGTATGTGCCCAGCACCACCGTCCTGGGCACTTCACAATGACCTGCTTTATGGCTGACAAGTGTCACTTAGGTGGGATTATTCCTCTTTCACAGGTGGGGTCAGTGAGTGGGTGGCTCCCCCCATTCTATTCTATTTCCCATCAACTTCCAGCCTTGAAATCACACAGGAAGTCTGCTTTGGGTGGGTATCCTCCCCCCCCCCCAAGGAAAAGAGGGCTAAATGTGAAACTTCCCAAATCACCTCTTGTTTCCAGAATCATGCCCCTCACTTTTCCCTCCGTTTCCAATCTCTCTAGTATATATATATATAGATATATATAGTAAAAATTTTTCATAATCATCACTGTCGTTAGGGTAAGCTTAATACAAGTCACTCTGGCATGATCTCTTCCAAATAGGGGACTGACAGGAAGTGTTGTGTGGATATGTGTCTCTAAATCTAGTATAGACATTTTCACTGAATTATTTCTCAAGAACCCAAACTTGTCACATAGACAGGATGGGGAGGAGTTTAAAATAGAGAAGAACTCACATGTAATAAGATCCAAATTGCAGCCAATGATCTAGTGAACAATGTCATTTCACACTAATTACTTTAATGTAGGCAATATTTTTCCTTCTAATCATATGAGAAAATGAGTCATAGGGAATTTTCTTGACATACACAAACCTATAGAGTTTGGTGTGAAACAACCAGAATTCAAATGATTGTCTAATTTTCAATATGCAGTCTTTCTACTGAAGTTTCACTATTATCAGATGTTTCTGGAATGCCTGAGACTTCACCATACATCAAAGATGGAATGTTTCCACCCTTCTGGCCAGCCTGGAAGCTACTAAAACATGTATGGAAATCGGTTTTATCCTGACAATCTTGAAGCTTTTTTGGGATTCAGTGGAAAATATTTTGGGAAATAGCATTAATGCCTGATATAGACAACAAGAGTCAGGTAATTAAAATGAACTGGCAAATGAACTTTTCCTGCCTTGGAGAGGAGGTTTCACTTATTTGAGGAAAAATAAAGGGAACAAGAAAGCAAGGGCCTGGGGAAGAAGTGCTCACCTCCCCGGAATACCTCCCTTCTGCCTGGCACAGTGGCCTGGAAGCTTTCCCGACTCCGAGTCCTGGCCTGTGCTCAATCTTGGCACAGGTCACTGAGGTAGTGATGACATCACAGCAGAGAGAGACAAGCTGGATTGTCCTGGAGGAAAAAAGAAAGCTTCCTTGCTTCCAAAATAATACTATTCTCAAGTACTATTCTCAAGTACTAAGCTGTGCAATTTTAGAATAAAGTTGCAAATTTGGAAGCTTCCGTGCGAGCCAGGCATGGGAAACTCTGTTTCATTTGACTTAGTCCAATGTCTTCAGCTATTTTCTTCCTCTACTGTCTGGGGCTCAGCCAACCGCAGGACACTTGTTTTCTGTTCATTAGTAAATTAATATATCTGCAAGCAAAGATCGTCTGCAAAAAGCAGATTCACTTTTCTTCAAATGTAATGAAACTGTGTTTGGAGAAGACTCTGTTGATGTCCAAGAATCTTTATGAGCCTTTTAAAGTCATTGTTTTCTTCTCACAAATGAGAAGTGGCTGATGCCAAAGAGTAATGAACTGGAAACCACATGGTGACAGTTGGTCCTTAACTTGGCCCTTGTGCGAGCCTTACTCAGTGGCTAGGGAAGAAGCTGGAGATTTCCTTCCTCTTTCTTTCTTTCTTTCTTCCTTTCTTTCTTTCTTTCTTTCTTTTTCTCTCTTTCTTTCTTTCTTTCTTTCTTCTTTCTTTCTGTCTTTTATTCTGTCTCCTTTCTTGCCACCTCTTCTTTATGCCTTAAGCAGTAAACACAGGCTTTGGAACACACAGATTTTGAAACAGAGTGGGGACAAATTTCAATGTCTCTTCAGCTGAGTGGTGAACCAACACTGTGTAAACAGTGGATTTCATTTCCCCAGGTCTGAGTTTTCCCATTTGTGAAATGGTGAGATACATCCATTCCCCCTTTCCTTATTTCTAGAAGAATCAGGAGTCCTTCATGGAGCTCTTATGATTCAGGAGATCTGAGAAATTTGAATGCTCAAAGTCAGCAATGACCATCCCATCCTTATGGAGAAGCTGGGGTTCAGGAAACAGGAGTGCAACAGCTATCAGACCTTGGGGCCTGTTACAGGGTGGCCATGGTCAGGGTGCCTTAGACCTTCAGAGTCTATCTCGAAGCTGTAAGGGAAGCCACCTTGGGGATGATGTCTTCATACACAAGAGGAGACAAAAGCAGAGAAGTGAGTGGCCATCTGGCCATCCCTGTTCATGCTACATAGCCATACTAGCACTAGACTTTTCATTGTGTGAGATAAGCTTCTTTTTTCTTTAAGTCAATTTATGAGGATTTTTTAATTTTCATTTTCTGCAGTGCTGAAGCTGGAACTCAGAGTTTCACACATGCTAGGTATGAGCTTTACCTCTAGCCATATCACCAGCCCTAATTTTTGTTGTTTTGTTATCCAAAAATATGCTAACTTCAGAAATGTGATAATCAATGATGATAATTAACAGTTACATAATTGGTTTGCCTCACTATTTTTTTTTTTTTTTTGTACCAGGCATCGAACTTGGGACCTTGTGCCTGTGAGGCAGGCAGCAGCACCACTGAGCTAAATCCCTGGCCTCTGCCTCACTATTTTTCATTGATTATTTTCTACTCTTTGCAACTTGGACACATGATGCTACCAGGCTTTAAAATTTACATAAAGCGTGCAGATGTTATTTGGATGTCTCAGTTTCCAAGAAACAAGGAACCCTCTCAATTCTCTGTGGGCACAGAGAGTTTAGGGTAAGGCTATGCATGAACAAAAGGAAAACTGGATGCTCAGCCCCTTGTCCATCAGAGGATTTAAAAATATCTGGAAAAAAGAAGAATCATACTCTAGCTATACCTCAGCAGAAGAAACGTGTGCACCACACTTGAAGGAAACCTACCAATTGTCTTCTGCAAAGAAAGTACTATTTGTAGCACTTGCTTCTGTCTCAGCTTCTCTCATTCCAATCTGAAATTGAAAAGATCATATGAGTACATGAAGCATTTAAGGGCACCCTCTGCCATATAGACAGACTGTCCAGCTACCAGCTGGTGTTCATCCATTACTTCAATTATCTTCAGCTAAAATTCCAAGATAACATTCATTCAAACAGTGGATAATTACCAACTAGTTAAGCATTTACCCTGTTAGATACTGTTCCATATTCATATCACAAATAACATAATCCTCCCATGTAAATAAAATAACTTTCAATGCAAAGTTTTCTTTGAAATGGGTCAGAGCCACAAACAAACTAGAAATCAAGGTGTAATAAGAGAAAATGAAGCCCAAGATAAGAGGGCAGAGGCTATGTTTTGTGAGAGAAGAGGAGATACTTAATACAAGGTAGACAGGGAGGCCAGTGTAGACTGGGCTTGAGTCCAGATCTACCTGCAGCATGGAAGGGAACTATTCTAGGAGACAGGTATCCAGGAAAAGGGACCCTCTGCTATGAATGTCCTGGGGTGGAAATGAGCTTGGCTTGTTGAAGGAACATCCTACAGGACAATGCACTTACAGTAATGTGGGAACAGCCAGTGTGGTTACAGGACACTGGATCAAGAAGGGGGTAGGAGACAGGAAAGGCCATGAAGACAGTGGCCCTCGTTTCTTCATTAATAGCTCTGAGAGGTGGTAAGTTTCTTCAAGGCAATTGAGTTCATGTGAACACCCTGAGGCTGGTCTCTTTGGTAAAAGAAACTGAGATCTAATCTTGGACTTCCAAGTCTTCCCACCAGGTCCCCTTTCTTCTCCAGCTCCTCATACTTGCAATGGTTCTTGTTCTGCTCACCCTGCCCTTTCCTTCTGAGGACCTTCCTTGGCAGCTAAAAGAGACTCCTCTGGCCACCTGAATGGACACCAAGAGTATGACAGGCCTCCTGCATGAAAGACTAGCTGCTGGAAGACAGGTTTTGTCTTGTGCTGGTGCAACCCCCAGCTTTGACTAGCACCTAGGAACCATCAGGTCCTCAGGAATAAGCATGGCCTTGAGGCTCTTGCAGTCCCACAATCCGGTCCAAACAATGGAGATGGGTTTCTTCTCTCCTTTGGAATCTTAGCTCAGTCCAATTCAACATGAATTCAAATTTTCATTAGGATCCTGGTGATTCATTTTTAAAATTGATTTTTGTCCCTAGTTCCTGGTGTGTTCTTAAAGTGTTTGGAATTTCCCAAAAGATAAGAGTGTCTTGATGTTAATGAGATGCCTCATGGGGCAGGGGAGACACTAGATGGCTTCAGGTTGGAGGATGCTGGTCAAAAAACCAAGTCCCAAAGAGAGTGTTGGAACTTTCAGCTCCAATCTCTGGCCTCCCAGAGAGGAGCTGGAGCTCAAGTTTAACCACCCATGGCCAAGTCTGTAATGGGCTGTGCTTATCTACTGTGACCTCCATACAAACGCTTGAAGGATGACACTCCAGGGGTGTCTGAGACCGTGAACACTGTGTGTGCTGGAAAAGGACAGAGCAGCTCTATGGCACATGCAGTCTTTCACAACCTTTGTCCTGTATGTCTCTCACATCTTGTTCTTCCTGAGTCCCAGCCTTCATCAAGAAGTAGAATCATAAGTGAAGTGCTTTCCTGAGGTCTGTGAGTTGTTCTAACAACTGATCAAACCCAAGGGGGAGGTTGGTTATGGAATGCCCTGAACTTATACCTGACTGGGTGGAAGTGTGGGTCACCTGGATCACACTTTCGCTGGGTTCTGCACTGGGACACCTTGTGGGATTGACCCCATGGTCTACAAGCTTTGTGCCAGTGCCAAAGCTTAGGGTCAGAATTGGATGGCATTCCTGGATGTCTAGTTTGTTTGGGGGAAGGAGAAGACTGATGGTACTGAAAATAACACTAACACAGTTCTCAAAAGGTAGCCTCAATGTGCTTAATTTTCCTTCGAAGAAGATGCAGGATTAATTTGTGAAGTTCTAACAGAAAGACAGAGGAGGGGTATTATGTAAAGAAACTGTCTCCTTGGATCAGAGGCAGAGCAAAGTGGGTCGTGGTCAAGGTCAGGTTCTAAGAAGCTGAGCCTTTCTTGGAAGGTTGGTATTAGACTCAAAGCAGTCAGAAGCAAAATGAGCCAGAACTGAGTTGGAGCCAGAGGCCGAAAAAGTGCTGAAGATCAAAGCCTGTTAAAAGAAGTAACAACATATATGGCATGGGACCATAAGTGGCTGCTTAATTCAAGGGTCAGAATCTCAGCCAGGACTCAGCACAGCTTGGGAGCTGGGTAAAGGGTAGACAGGGACAATTGGTTCTTAATGGTGGGAGAGTCTTCATCTCCTTCTATTTGTTAATTAAGAAAAGACATTTTAAGGAAACAGGGCCATCAGACATGTCACGTGATGTCCTCCTCCACAATAATAGGGTGAATTGCCACAGGAGAGAGAATGAGGCTGGTGGGGAAGCAGAGGACCATAGACATAACCAGCCAGAAGGCCTAGGTTTCCAGCAGGATAAAAACAGTGGCTGCTGTTGGCTGATCTGGGAAGACCACACTGGAGACTGTATTCGTGCCCATATCCCGTCCAAGGAGAGTGCCCCACTGCATTGCAGAGGAGGCTCCTGCTGTCTGTCTTGCAGCCAGGGTGCTTGCCAGAGCCCAAAGGTGCTCATGGCCCAGGAATCAGATCCGGAGGCAAAAAGGCTCGACCCTGCGTGGTACAGTGGAATAGTACACTTCCCAGCAGGTTCATGTAACACCAGAAAAGTCAAGGCCAACCAATGGCTCTGCTGCTTCCTGTCTTGGGGATTCTAGCTCTACATTATCAGGACATCTGCCTGCCTCATTATTATCCATTAAGACCCTGTTGGTCACCTATAAATGGAGACTCTCAGGGAGAGCTCTCTTCCTGATTCCCAGTATCAATTTCAGTTATGTAGGTAAATCCGAGCTGCACTGCCTCCAGGACCCAAACGTTACTATCAACTCGCAAAAACCTGCTCAGATAGGAACATGTACCCAGGCAGTTCCCAAATCATCTCATTATTCCTCATCTATAAGTGAATTTTCTTAAGTACTCAAAGATTAGGCCTAAGAAGAAAGACCCTAGCAGGAATCTGTGTTACTAAATGCAAAGAAAATATATTCTTCAAAAACAGATTTTTGGTTTCTCCCAGTTGAAGAAACAAAATACAAGACAAGGGACATGAGTTGCCCTGGATCACCAAGCTGGTCAGTTCTTTGGCACAGCCAAGAGCAAAAATCAAAAATCTCAACTCACTGCTTACTCTATTTTACCAAGCCACCTTTCCTGATTCATTGGTAGGTAAACACTTTTTATTTTCAAGGAAAAGGTAAAAAAAAAAAAATTGAGGCATTTTGATAGTTTTTGTTGTTAGTCAATACTATGATTTTAGCACATAATCACTTCACTGGGGGGAAAAATGGAAAATCCTATTCCACCTATCACTCACCCTCCCCCAGGTGGTATTTATACACCCTCATCGGGGGCAAAAGGTGGCCTATTGAGGCAGAGTCAGAATAAAAACCTTGTCACCCTCTCACTTGGTTGTCAAGAAGGAACCTTGCTCCAAATGCAGGTTGCATTAGGCAAAAGTGGTTGTGTGTTTGAAATTAAATCACTCAAATATGATTAAAAACAGGATGCGTGACTTTTCATGGGGGTCCACACTTGAATGGGGCACCATACAAAATCAAGTTGTATTGTATTGTGTGAAACGGCTTTATATTAATGTTCAGAATAACAAGGCCCCACTGAGAGCCCTTCACGTTTCTGAATGGTGCTTGGAGTTCCGCAAAATTTTTCAGGACGGGATCTGCGCCACCCTGACTGCGTGAACAATAGTTAAAAAAAAATAAGATTGGTGAATTAAAATGACATTTTTTTTTCATTACTCTTCAGCTTTTGAGCTGCAGTTAAATGGGAGCCTAGGGAATCTCGTGCTGTTGCATTTGTTTCCCTGTGCTTGCGCTCGAGTTTAACTTGGTGTGGGGCAGCGGGAAGCATTCAGGCCACGGGGTGTGTGTTGGAGGAGAGCTGTCCTCAGCCATTCACGTGGCAGGAGCAGAATGCCTAGGACCAGGTGGCTTACGGACAACAGAAATTAATTCTTCACGGTTGTGAAGGCTGCAAAGTCCAAGGTCAAGGGGACAGCAGTTTCAGTGTCTGGTGAGGCCCTTTTCCTGATTTGAACACTATCGCCTTCAGGTGTGCGAAAGAGGCACCCAAGCTCCCTGACGTGCTTTTTCATAAGGAAATAATCCCATTTAATAGGGTTCCACTTTCATGAGCTAATCGCCTCCCGATAACATCACCGTGGAGTTAGGATTCCAGTATTTGAATTTCAGGGGCACAAATGCTGTCAGTCTCCAGCACTAACTATCCACTCACCAACTATAATAATTTCTTTATCTACAAAAACAGACACAAAAATAGCAATTTAAATTTTGGCCGACAATAAAGAAGAGAGGAATTTGCAGATTAGGAGGCCTGTAAAAGCTAAGTAGTAAATACTGGACAATGGAGAAGAAATTAGATTTAAAGAAAAGAATCATGTCTCCTTGTAGTGGTTTGCTGGGGCTTCCATGACAAAGAAGCAGAGACTAAGTGTCTTTAAACAACAGAAATACAATGGTCTCACAGTTCTGGCAGCAGAAATCCAAGGCCAAGGTATCAGCGGTGTTGGTTTCTCCTGAGCCCTCTCCCCTGGGCTTGCAGGTGGCTGACTCAGTGCTCCCCTCCATGGGGTCTTTTCTCGTGCATCCAACACACCTGGTGTCTTTGTGTGCCCACATTTTCTTTAAGCATAGAAAGGATGAAAATTAGATTGGGTTAGGGCCCGCTCAAAGGGCCTCATTTTAATTTAATTATTTTAATTTAGTTATTTTAACTGAATAGGGCTTTAAAGACCCTGTCCCCAAATACAATCATATTCCAAGGTCTTGGGGGGTCACGGTTCCCACATATAAGCTGAGAGAGAAACAGCTCAGCCCATTCCAATGCAGCTTTGTAGTTTTGACTTGGAAGGCAGATACATCCTTGGGAACTAAATAAGTGCTATATATTTAAAAGCAAAATTAAGTCACAATTTCCAAAGAAATTCTTAAACATAAAATATGAACAATTTTTCCTGTGTTGATAAGGTGGAGTACATCTCTAGATAAATTATGACTAAAATCTTTGAACAGAAATGAAAATGAAACTACCTTAGGATTCTGAAAACTAACCAATCTGGAGAGCGTAGTTGTACGCTCCATATCAGGAATGGTAATTGCTGGGTTTTGTGTTTTGTCTAGTTTAGTTTCTCGGCTTTGTCTCTCAGCTCTGACTCAAGGATAGGTCAGATCACCTCATGGATATGGGCCATGGACAGAAAGACTCTTAGAAAAGTTCTGTCCAGTCCTCGCAGCCACAGAACAGGAAAGTGAAGCCTTGTAAGTCAGAGAATGTGGGGAAATTTTTCTCCTCTTGACTTTTCTCATCTTCTGTCCCAGCTGTGTTCGGTGGGCAGCACTCACAGCAGGACTGTCCTGAGGCCCTGAACTTGCATATGTCTGAGGTTTCCTCCTGGGCTGCACATGGGCGGAAAACAGACAGCAAAGGCTGTGGAAACTGAACTGTGAAATGGACCACGGACTAAATCCCAGACTGATCCTACATTATTTGCATCTGGGCAGCCAGATGCAAAGAGCACAGTGCAGACTTAGAAAACTGACCCTAGTGTCACAGCCACCGATCCCAGAGGGTGACACAGTCCTTGTAGACTCAGCCTAACCGGAAGGACTGCCCATCATCCTGCTGTTTGCAAACAAAAATCAACATTTTCCAGAGTTTACAAGACACCGCAGTCTCACCAATTAACACTGTCCAGAATGCAACCCAAAATTACTTGATACCCACATGAGGGAAAGCTGGCCCATGCTAAGGGGTAACTCAAGAAGAGCACAATGTTGGAATAACCAAAGTATTTTAAAGTGACTACTGTAACATTCTCCCATGAAGTCAAAGTGAACATTCTTGGAAATAAAAAGCTAGACTTTCTCAGCAGAGGAATGGATACAATTTGTTTTGTTAAATGGGCATTATAGAGTTGACAAATTTAATACTGAAAATAAAAGAATTCACTGAATGAACTCAGGAGCTGAGTGGAGCTGAAATGGGAAAGAGTCCATGTGCTTGAATACAGGTAAGTGGAAATCACACAATCCCATCTGGAGACAGAAACGATTTTTAAAATGAGCAAAGACTCAGAGGCCACTGGGAAAGGTTTTTTTAGTTTAACTTTATGTCTTTGGAATCAAGAAAGAGTAGAGAAAGAAATAAAGGGGAAAAATAAAAAAACAATTTTTCAAATCTCCCAAATTTCATGAGGCATATTTACAGATTAAAGAAGTTTGGCAAAGGCCAGACATGGTGGCACATACCTATAATCCTAACCCTCAGGAGGCGGAGGCTTGCAGTGAATTTCAGGCTGGTTTGGGCTCCACAGTGAGTTCAAGCCCCAGCTTGGACTACATAGCGAGACCCTGTCTAAAAAAAAAAAGTTCAGCAAAACTCAAACAGGATAAACTGAAAAAACACCATGTCCAGAAGTACTGCATTAATTGCTGAAAACTGAAGACAATATTTTTAAAATCTTTACAGTAGCTGGAGAAAAACAAGAATAATACACAAAGAAAAACAAATATCTATGGATGTTTTTCATCAGAAACCACAGAAGACAAAAGACAGCATAAAAACACGTTTAAATTCTTGAAAGAAATGAGCTAGCTACTTAAAACTCTATGTCTAACAAAAATGCCTATCAGGAATAAAGTCAAAATGGACACATTCTAATTCTCATATTAAAAAATTGTCACCTGTATCTATCCTTTAGAGAGTTGATAAAGGAAATTATTCACCCTAAAGGAAATTGATATGAGAGAGAAGCTTGGAACCACAGAAACGAAGGAGAAATAGGGGAAGCAGTAGCTATTGGTGCTTATCTACTGCAGCGTTTTCCTCACAAAATTCTTTAAAATATGAATGAATGTTGAACACAAGCATTAGAACATGGCTTAGATGCTGTTCAAAGTGTACTGGTGTAAGTGAGATGATAACTTTAAAATAAAGTTAGGAAGGTTAAAGGGTAAATATGGCTGTAAGTAAAATCGTAAACTGCTAGTTTTTATACTACTTATGTTAGTGTAAGATTTGTTATTCTGAGTGGTGGTATATGTGTAATCTGAGCTCAAATAAACTACTAATTACCCTTGTATCACTGAGGAACATCTTTGTCACAGGACAGATGAAAGATCAAAGACACTAAGTGAGAACCAATATTAAACACCAAAAAGATAAGTATTTAAGTGATAAATGTAAACATAAAGAAAACTTAAAGATAAAATTTAACAGAAACCAAGTATAAACTATAAAAGAGCAAAATAGAATATGAAATTTAAAATTCAAGGATTGAATTAAATAGATGATTCAAACTAATTCCGAACTGAAGATCGGATGTTGTGTGGGTCCTGTACTCAAAACCTTAGCCAGCTACTCATGAATCCAGCCAGAAGAGCAGGTGGTCTCATCTTCAGACTGGTAGAAAAATGAGGGTCCAGAGAGAATTCCACATCCAACTAGTTTGCCATCCAAGTGTGAACGCAAAGTAAAGGCATTTTAAGACAAATGGGTTTTATCTGAACTATGCTGAAAAACAACTAAATAAAAGTTGTAGGTCAGAAAGAAATACATGCACACAGAAATCCAGAAACAGTATGTTACTAAAATTTTGGACAATAATACCTAAAGTGGGGGTTCTTTTCTTGTTCCAGAAAAGAGAGAGCTTGTTTCACTTTTGACTATGTTAAACTACATATGAAAGATAAAATTTTAAAATTAACTGTATATCCCTAGTAATCAAATCACTTCATTAGGGGGAATAAAGAAATCTTTCATCCAATGAGAAATAAGAAAACTTTGGAAGAAATAGAAAATGTAAATAAGTCAAAGTACATTGGTAGTCATAATAAATTTAAATAAATAATTCGCCAAGTAAAGAAATAGATTGCCACTTGGATGAGAAAAATAGAGGAGATGAGAGATAGAAATATAATAATTTATTAATTTGGAAGTAAATGAATAGAAAGCACCTATGAGGCAAAAACTAATAAAAAATAGCTATTTTAGTAATAGAGGGTGATATTGAACCCATAAATTATTATAGGAAACAAAAATGCATGAAGAAGTAATTGCAACTCAGAACTTCTAATATCCAATTATATATCTGTAAATTATATAAAAGAAATGATAGAATTGCAATAAAATGTTGAGACTACACCATCATACTGGGAAATATTAACTTTGTAACTGTGACCTCAAGAACAAAATAATAAAGATCTAGAATATTTGAACAACATAAGCAAATGTCTTAGTTACTTTCTTATCACTGTGACACAATACCTGACACCCACAAGTTAAGGTGGCAAGGTTTATTTTAGCTCATAGTTCGCAGAGATTTCAACCTGTAGTCAGTTGACTCCAAAGCAGGTCAGCATGGCAGAGGGGCATGGTAGAGGAGAAACAGTCCATGGCATGACAAGCAAGAAGCTTCGAGTCCTTCTTCTTCTTTCCCTTTTTATTTCACTCAGGCTACAATCCTATTGCTTGATGCCACCCACATCTGGTTGGGGGGGGTGCTTCCTTCTTCAGTAAATCAGCCCATCACACCCAAAACTATGCTAAACCAATTAGTGGATGAATCCAGTATCACACACCCATGATCCAACATCACATACCTATGATCCAGTCACTCCCCAAAGCTCACTTATGAGCTCATGATCCTTTGGGGGGACATTTAGATATAAGCCATAGCAGTAACCTATGTGAAAAAAAATTAAATATACAAAATACAATATCCTCTAAATTAGATATCAAATGTTCATTTTCAAGCATGTTTAGAGAATATATAAATGTTGACCATTTCCTGGACCACAGATTTCAGGTGCTTGCCAGGGAGTAGACCAAAAAAATCACTCAAGCCATAAAAACACATATTTATGTTGGCCTAACTATTTTAGTGAACATTTAAGCAATAGCTAATAAAATGAAGTAGGCATAAGCGCTACGTACCAGCACTTCAACTTGGAGACCATTTCTGTTTCTTGTTCAAGTACTTGTGTTTTATAATCAATTGCAACGTCATTGGAAAATATTAAAAACTGGAAATCCCTTAAATGTCCAACAAACAGAGACTGAATAGGCAAACTGGGATACAACATACAAAGTAGTATTACCAAGCTGTTAAAGTGCACTAGAACTTTATAATTAATCTAAAAAAAAAATCACAGTTCCAATTATTTTTCCAAAATCTTTTAGGCGCAGATGTGTTTCAGGAATTAAGTATTATTTGAACTTCTGAGAAGCATATATTTCTACAGTAATTGGTAATGCTCATAGCAGACGCTTGTTCAACACTGCAGAAACAAACGTACTAATACACCAGCACTGTCACTTATAACTGTTTGGGTGGCAAACATTTTTACATGTATCATCCCTTTAGATCTCCCTGAAATTATTCTGAAGTAGGGCAGAAAAAGCAGTATTTATGCAGTTTGAGAGGAGAAGAATGAGATTTTAAAGGTCCCATCAGTTGCTCAGAGTTATAAATAGGGGATAAGTCAAGGAAGATCTTCTGATGTGACCATCCCAACATTGTCATTCTCATAGGGTGGCAAAGAAATAATTAGGGATGTCTTTCAGGTACTTTTCTTGGTGGCCAAGAAGGATGGTTTATTCCCCTATCCAATGTTAGCATGGAAGAAGTGATAGGAAAAGATTTAATGGTTGAAAAGTTTGTGTAGAAAACTCATGAAATAAGCAAGCTCTTCTGCAGAGCTTTCCCAGGTAGAACTATCATGGAAGTAGAGCTGAATGGCACACTGGTGTAAACTAATCTGACTTCCTCCTTCTTTCAGGAGAGAAAATATACCCAAAGGGAGGCCATAAGGAGCCCAAGAAAATAGGGGAGAGGCCAAGTTCTGTTTAGAATGTAGATGTCTTTACTCCAAGTTCAGGGTCCCTGGCCAATTTCCCTCCCTCATAAATGGAAGGGTGTTTTAGGTAGAGAACAAAGGTTGATGAAATATGGGCTCATAAAGCCAGGAGTGGTGGTGCACTCTAGGAGGCAAAGGCAGGAGTTTGAGCCCAGACCAGGAAACTTAGCAGTTTTGCAAGACCCTGACTCAAAACTTAGAAAATAATAATAAAAGGGCTGAGTATACAGCTCAGTGCAAAGGCTTTGGGTTGAATCTCCAGTACTGCAAAATAAACAAACAAATGAAAAATATATAGGAACTCAGAAAAGAAAGTAAGAGCAGAGGAATCTGAAGAATAGGTAGTACAAGAATAATAGTGAGGACCACTGCCTTAGTTAATTGATTTAAAATTTGGGATTCAAGAAAGAGATCACATTCTATGTACCTGGAGACAAAGAGAAGCTCTGAGTAGGTGAGAGAGGGTGGAAAACTCCATCTGACAAGAGTCTGGCCTGTCATCTTCAGGGAAGCCTTCTTCAAAATCTAAGTAAGCTGGTGTATGTCCCTCCAGTTAGGGAGTGGAGCTATCTGAGATATGGATTATACATGTTGGAGATAAAGCATATGCCTTCATAATTGATTGAATAGAAGGTTTAGATCTATTGTGAGCAATTGACATTAGAAAGCTTTAATCTTGGCTCCCAGATCTGCCTTTAAAAGTTGAGAAATTGTGAATTTAATTAATGCCCAAATGATCAGCTCAGTGCATCCCGTTGAAAATGTCCTAGATGACTTTTAGTTTTCCTAGTAAACCCCATATCACCAGCTTGAGGCTTAGCAATGCACCCTCTAATTTGCATAGGAAAGGGAAGCAGATGAGGGATGGCTATTAATAGCTAATATTTACCACTTATTTTAGGTCAGATTATGAACTCTAAAGAGTGAAGAGATTCTTACTACCCTCTCTGGGGCCTAATCCATATTCACCATATCGGATATAACCAGAGGTTACCAAGGTCTGCAGCCCACCCAGCATGCATAGCTCATGAGCAATGTGTTATATCGAGGAAGCTACAGTCAGAGTTTCTTCTGTCACAGATCACACATCAGGGACTTACTAAGCATGTTCTTACTGCGTGCCAGTTATCAGCCTTCAGCCAGCACCATCTTTGTCCTTTTTGGCTCTTTCTTTGGCTGTTCCCTCTACATGCCCCTCTAGTCCCTTCCTCCCATGCCTGCCTGCAGTGCTGGACCAAGCACACAGCCCCTCTCTTCATGTAGTGTCTAAAATAGCTTCATGTGCTCTCTTGTCCACTCTGAAGACATTATCAGTGAACAAATACTGCGAAAGCCACAAGTGACCCCAAATTTCCCTTGCCACAGAAGCAAGTTTTCATGAAAAATAGGCTCTTCCTGACAGCCAGCTATGGCTTCTCACAAAATGTTATCTAGTGTCATTTTCCAACATTCATGAATCTCAAAAAGATCAGCAATCTTGTTCATTTGGAGGCCTGA